GATATGCAGTAAGTGTTTAGGAACAAATGAAAATATTCTTTTTAAATCAACTCCTTTTAAGGACTGGATAGAATTTGAGGAAATAGCTGATCTGGAAGAACGTGCAAAGAGCCAGTTTTTTGAAAAGGTACATGAAGAAGTTGTGCTCAAAACTCAGGAAGCTGCTAAAGAAAAGGAGTTCCAGAGTGTACCTGCAGGGCCAGCTGGAGCAGTTGAGGTAAGAGAAGAATGTTAAATTTTCAACCTTTGGTCCTGTTGCTCACTTTAAATAAATAATCATAAACATTTTATATCACTTTATTTACATCCCTCTTTCAGTGATTTTAAGATTTTATGTAAGCTTTACTCGTTAGTTGCACTCTGTGATATGACTTGGGCTTTTATAACCACTGTAGTTATTTACGTAATATCAGTCACCAACAGCAGTGAAATGTTAGCTATTTTTGCATGGAAGAATGCAAAATTCTTAGAATTTATTTTGTGTTTGTATTATATGTCGGACATTGTTAAAACTTGCAGAAAACTCAAATTCCTTCCTCCACTTAATAAAATGTTTATATATTTTTACTTAATGTGTTCTGTTAGTAAATTTCATTTTATATGATTCTGTTTTAGAGTTGTGAAATCTGTCAAGAACAATTTGAACAATACTGGGATGAAGAAGAGGAAGAATGGCATTTAAAGAATGCTATTAGAGTGGATGGAAAGGTAATTTTCAGTTCTTTATAAGAAGTTTTAAAATTAGTGGTTTTTTTTGTAGGGGTAGCTCACCATTTTGAAAGAAATGTTTTTGTTTTTGATTTTAATAAAAAAGGTTTTTTGGAGGTATTGGAATTTAGAGTCAGTGTTTGAGTTGGAAGGCATCTTAGTAGTCATCTGGTTCTATACTCATTTATATAAGGGGTTGCATAACTAGTTAATGATAAACTCAGGACTAGGTTTTCTGAATCTAGTTAATTTTCTTCCTGCCTAACCATACTTTCAATTCTAAATTTATATTTCATCATTAAAACTGTTACTGTCTTGAAAGCATACCATTGCTATCTCCTTAAATGTAGAAAGTCACGTTTAAAGCCAAGAGAAACCAGGATGAGAAATTTTTTTATCCATTGTCTGCTTTCCAAAGATAGTTATCTTCTGGTCTAAATTAGAAAAGAAAATCTTATTAGAATAGCCACTAGAAATGAATATACATGTGAATACCTACTTATTTTTTCTTTTTGCTTCAGATTTATCATCCATCATGTTATGAAGATTATCAAAACGTAAGTTCTTTTTGGTTAGTGTTTTCATTTACATTAATAAATTGTGTTATTTTTTGCATCAAAGCATTATTGCTATTTTTAATCTTATTTAGCTATTGAGCTGTTTTTGTGTTTTGATATAGCATTTAGGTTGTCCACTAAATATTGGTGCTAGATTGACAGAATCTGATTTAAATTTTGAAATTTCTGTATTCCTTTCATTCCATTCACTTCAATCTTGATGTCTTTTACTAGACCACTGGTCAGAGAGAAATGTGAGGGAAACTGAAAGATGAGAAGGATCATGATGGGAATAGGTTTCTAGAATTATGGGTAGCATTTACTGCTTTTTTTTCTTACACTTCACTCAGCCGTGTAACACAGGAATAATTTTTAAATGATCACACATGAAATCTGAAAAAGACATCAGTGTGTTTCCCTTAGAAATTAAAACCAAACAATGGAAACACATTGCCTTTCAAATATTTGTTCCATGGGTTCAAGAGGCAATTAGGTACATATATGTAGGTCATCAAAAGATTAGAGTTTCTAGGATGTTTTGATTTTTGTGGGACTTTTAAAAATCCTTTGAGTGTTTGAAATTAGGAGTCACACAAATTCCAGGATATATGTAGGGGTTACCATCTGTGTGGAGTAAAATACAGAAGCATGTCTAATCAACCTCTTCTGGCCTTTTATTGGTTACTGCTAAGTAATTATTAAATGTTTAGTAATCTGCCTTTATGGCATGTTTTGTGGGGAAGCAGGTATTTCAGTTGCATTTGGTATGTTTCTTTGCCCACATAAGTGACTTATAAAACTGTCATTTAATGTGGTACTTTTGAAGTTTAATGAGTACTTATATAGGGCTTTTCATTTTGTAGACATCGTCATTTGATTGTACACCATCTCCCAGCAAGACACCAGTTGAAAACCCTTTGAACATTATGTTGAACATTGTCAAAAATGAATTGCAGGAACCCTGTGAAAGTCCCAAAGTTAAGGAAGAACAAATTGATACCCCACCAGCTTGTACAGAGGAAAGCATAGCAACACCCACTGAAATTAAAACAGAAAATGATACAGTCGAGTCAGTTTAAATAAAATGAGAAAGGTATGTTTTTCTTTTTTAAAAAAGCTGCTGTTTGGATCTAGAAGGTGAAGAATTTTTTTATGTATATATAGACATATCTATATAAATTGTCTAGCTGAGGCAGGGCCTTCAGCTATCATTTGGTTAATAAATACATTTTAGTATTTGCATATCCTACTGCCTGCACAGTTTCAGGTGCTTGTTGTGTGAAAGTTCTGTAGATGTGTGCAAATTTAAAATGAAATTGTATGTGTAAAAATGTACGATTTTCACTTGTGAAACTGTAAATTATAAATAAAAAATATTTTTGCTATCCATGGAGTGTAATATTTATGCACACCATCAAATAAAGACAGTGTTTCTGTACTTTTTATTGGGTGAAAATGGAATTAAACAGCAACCTCAACATAAGATTTTTTTCTGGTAGTTCCCATGATTAAAGCAAAGTCTAAGTTTTATCCTTCAAAGGGGGTTGTGAGAGAGTGCTGTAGAACTTTTCTCAGAAAAGCCAGATTTGAAAAAATTTTAAAAATAGGACATACATGCATATCTATCTATATATCTCCAGCTATAGAGAACCATCCAGATGTCCATTTTTTGAATACTATCGAATGAAGCAACTTTTATTCTTTAACTTGGGCACTGATGCCATCAAATAATTAACAAATATACTTAAGGATTAAAGGTGATTTTCTTTTTTTTTAAATGACATTTTTCAAATTTGTCATGATTTAATGCAGTGAACATATTTCTATTTTAAGTTACAGGGGAGTCTGTAAGAATGTTCATTTGAAACATGGTTAACGTTTTTCATTTGTTGGTTTGACTGAATTAGATGGATACCATGAGATGTTAATACTTCATACATGTAATAAATAGAATGATGATGAAATGTCGTTTGTGTCTCTTTATTTCTTGAATGGCTTTAGATTGTGACTTCTTTCTTTCATCAGCCTTAAAACATGAAGTGGTGGCACTTATGAGCCAGGCATTCTGAGATGCAGCATTAATCTTTCCTGCCATCTATTGGAGGAGATAGGCATATAAAACTAATGAAACAGTTTAAGCACTATGCGGTAGGCATTGACAAACATTTTCCAGATATTCTCTGGTACTTATTTTAATCCTATATTGCCCGGCCAGGCGTGGCTCAGCGGTTGAGCATTGACCTAGGATCCAGGAGATCGGGGTTCGATTCCGGTCAGGGTACATGCCCAGGTTGCAGGCTTAGGCAGCCGATCAATGACTCATCATTGATGTTTCTATCTCTCTCTCCCCCTCCTTTCCTCTCTCTGAAATCAATAAAAATATATTTAAAATAATAATCCTATATTATAGATAGTATCCCCAATTTACAGGTGAAATTTAATCACCCAATTAGAAAGGTGAAGAATGTAAACCTGCTTTGCTTCATTTTAATGCAGTTTCCAGTTAAAAAAAATAGCCTAAGATAAATGCTAGAATAGAAACAGGCACACCAAACTATCTGGAGATAGGTTAAGCAAGACTTTATAAAGGTGGTGATAATGAAGTGTTAGAAGATAACTAGCAGTGGAGTCTACATTCCTGGGAAGGCTATGTATGGAGAATGAACAGCAAATGTAAACACTTCAGGTGTTTTCAAAAATTAAATTTGGTATGGTTAAAACCCAGATTATGTAGTCTTGTTGGTCATGCTAAGGAGTTTGTATTACACTGATGACAACTGGAGCCACTAGAAATTTAAAACAATATCCTAATGTGCACCTGAAGTTTTTTTTTTTTTAAAGAATCAAGTGAATAACACTTTTTAAAAGAGATTTTCAAATGCTATAGAGAGGTCTAATAAAAAAACTGGTTGGGTCCACTGGATTGAGAGTTATAAACACGTGAGATAGCAGAACTTTTGAATGAAGAGTCATGGAAGAAATGCTGGAGTCTGAATCTAAAAATGTGGGAAAAGTTTTCTGTTGTGCCTTTTTTTGGGGGAGGCCATCATAGTTTTTATCAAATGATTAAAAGTATGTGACAATCGCCCTGGCTGGTGTGGCTCGATTGGAGCCTTGTCCTGTTCACCAAAGAGCTGTGGGTTTGATTCCTCGTCAGGGCACATACCTGAGTTGTGGGTTCAGTTTGATCCCCGGTTGGGGTGTATACAGGAGGCAACTGATGTTTCTCTCTCCCTTCCCCTCTCTCTAAAATCAATAAAAACATACAAAAAAGGTAAAAGACACTTCAGTTAAAAAAAAAGTACCAATCAAAAGCAAGGTGATATTCAAACTTCCTAGTACCTGTATAGAGGAAGAGATCCTTGGGGAACAAACATTTAGATTTGCAGGTAGGAAGGTGAGAGGAGTATTGAAATAGGAAAACCAGCAATGGGGAAAAATTTCAAATGGGTAGTCAAGAAAATATGGTAAGATTGAGAAACATCCCCTAACTTGAGTATGAGTGCCAGTGCCAGTTGCAATGGGTTGTATCGGTGAGAGGTGACAAAATAGTTAAGAGCTACTCCTAAGAAATTTAACTGGAGATTTGTGGTTAGAATGAGATGAATAGACATTAGTATGCTAAAAGTTCCTTGGAGAGACTGGTAGAAGAGGCAGATGACTGTCCAGTTGGAGCTGGAAATACTATTAATAGCACAAGAGAAATTAGCTTTGGAATGGAGGGACAGTACCGAGATGGTCACAGGTACTGGGCCTGGAATTAAGAATTCAATTCCCAGTTTTTCTTTGAGGTAGGAGGCTAGATGTAGTGATTTAGATGCACCCCACCCCCAATTAAACTAAAGCTGTGCACTAGAGTGACAGTGAATGTTAAGAACGGATTCCTTATCTCTGGAGAGTCATTTAGATTATCATTCAGAGACATCTAGTATTTAAGATGCTCCATAGTTATACTCAAAACTAATGTTGATTATATCAATAAAAAAGTTCCATACTTAATTCTAACCAACAGCCAAATCTCATAACTGATCTAGACACCAGAAACATTGAATTTAGCCCCCAAAGATGGGAAATAGTCCACACATAGCCCTGGGAACTAGCAATAGTAATTTATACTGGAAAGTGTAGCAAGGAAAGCTAGAAACCACAGGGAAGATAGAACACTGTCACTTGAAATGAGTTTGTGAGAATAAAAGGAATAGTGTATTTCCTGAAAACTACAAATGTCATTGTTTATACCCTTTACAAAGTCAATATAATTAACCTACTTAAAACTTCCAACTTTCATGTTCTGGAAAATATAGTAACCTGCTATTCAGCTAAAATCAAAAGCTTTAGGGAGAATAATAGGACTTGATTACATATTAAAAACAAGATTTTCACTTAACAGCTTAACCTAAAATACAGAATTCTAGATTTTTCCTGGCTGGCTTTTTTTACAACCTATTTTAGTGCCTAATATGTGCTCTGAAAGGTTTATACAAAAATAATAAGCATCTAACCATGTATCCAAGTGAAAAGACTATGCTGACTAAAGAAGTAATCTGGAAGTAGAAATGGAAAATCAGGCTATTGGCAAGGCCTGAACTTCTGGAAGAGTAGGAAGTTTTCTCCTAATCCTATACAAGGTCAGCTCCCTGAAATAATCGACACTTTGTTGAGCAGGCAAGGAAGAGCAAGTTAAAGAAACAGCCAAAAAGCAACAGTGGGGTGCCCTAGCGAGGGTTTGGAGGTGCACACCAAACAACGTGCAAGATGCCTGGAAAGCATGAGGGTACAAAGGCAGGAGTAGAGATGGTTACCAACGCGGCCCCCCCCC